CTCTGCGAGGAAAGGGCCTTGGGTGTGTTTGTCCCTGGATGTCTGGGAAGGGGCTGCTTCCCAGTGAGCATGTCATGGAGTTAGACCCAGGAAGGATCTGTTTAGCGCACCTACTCCAGGCCCCGGTCCGGCCGGTTCTGGGTCCCCCGCGCCTCGCCAGCCGGCGGCCGTCAGGGGCGGGCGATCCGGGCACCCCGAGCCCGGCAGAGTTGGTGCCTCGGGAGTTCCCGGCTCCCTCCTGACTGGGGGAGGCACGGCGGTGAGCCCGGCTTCCCTCCCCGCTCCCGGGGCCTCTGCCGAGCGCTGCCCACGCCTCGCTGCGGACACCCGGGGCCAGACGGTTCTCGGGGTGGGGACCTCCTGCGCCTGGTGGGATGTTAGCAGCACCCTGGCCCCCGCTCTCCGGTTATCAGCAGCAACCCCCGCCCCAGCTTTGACACCTAAACTCTGCAGATGAGGCCGAACCCCGCCCCGCCCCCGTGCCCCGGGGCAGAATCACCTGCTCGAGTGTGGTCCTTCCCCGGGTGGTCACCGTGGCCACCACGTGCCTGAACCATTGCGGGGGACAGCGGAGACCCCCGCCCGGACTGGGGAGGCCCTACAGACTCAGGCCGGAGAGGGGGAGCCAGAGGGTGCCGAGGGCCTGCCAGGCCGTCCCAGCTGCGATCACAAGCTGGCTTCTCTGTGCCACGGGTCAGTGGCCCTGCCCGAAACTGGTCAGCTCCAGAGCCGAGCGCAGCATCCAGTGATGGGGAAGCTTGGCCTTGTCCCCTTTTCCAGCCAAGACACCTTCCAGGAGGACTTGCAAACGACCTGTGCAAGTCTGAATAACTGGGTTGTGACTACCAGAGGAGGTGGGGAGAGGGCTTTGAAAATTGTGGGTCTGCAGGGATGGAAGTCACCGGCAAAGGTGGGTGGAGCCGAGCCCCCAGTCCAGGAAAGCTGGGACAAGGGTGAAGGCCTGAAGAACTGGAAGGCGATGACGGTGACCAGTGAAGGTAGTTTCATCGTAAGGATCTGTTTAGCGCACCTACTCCATCAAAAACCTGCAGCCAGGACCTTGCCCAGCACACCAAGTGACATCGCACTGGGGCTCGAGGTCTGGTTGAGGTGCATTTCGGAGCTTGGGGAATGCCCCACCCACCCCCATCTGCTCTAGGATTGTCCCTCCCACCACCCCCATACTGCAGGTACCAGGGTGCCCAGGCTGCGGTGGAGAGGGACCTGTGGCTTCACACCTGTGCACAGCAACCACTTTCCATGTCCTCCAAGCCTAAGACAGCAGCCCCGCCAGACACGGTCCACACCTGAAGGGCCACATGACCTGTCAGGGTCCAGATCATCACACCATGGAAGAGGCAGGGGCAGTGCTGGGACCTCTTGAGTTATAGATGCGGACGTGGGGAACTCACGCCCTGTGGTGGCCTGCTCAGGGTCTCAGAGCCCCTGGTGGCTGCTAGACCGAAGCAGAGAGGCCACCTCTGGGCAGCAGGCAGCTGGTTCCAGCCTAGGCTGGGGCAGAGATCTGCCACCTGGTGGGATGCCCAGCCTCCTATGCCCAGTGGGCTGTCCTAAGACTGGGATCGTACGATGGTGAGTATGGGACCCATGTGTGCTTTTCAACACCCATAGAAAATACAACATAAGAGTGCATCCTGATGGAGACTTCAGACGTTTGTGATAATAACGGATCAATATTGGTTCTTTGCCTGTCACACGCCTACACCCTAATGAGAGAAGGTAATCATAGGAGAAACTGGGTCAGGGAGAGGGGCTGTGGGGGACCTCTACCATCTGCTTGGTGTTTCTGTAAACCTAAAACATTAAGTCTGCTAATTAAAACAAAACAAAACGAGGGTAAGAATGCTCGCTGGCCAGTATTCTTGGAAGAAGCTGATCTATCTTGGGAAAGGGGCCTGGCCCTTTCCACCCTGGGACTGTGGTTCCCCAAGCTGTTCCCCTGAGGAGGTTTGCGCCCCAGAGGCGTTGGGTCCTCCTGAGCACCTCTGCTGCCCCTGTCCTGGCCCAGCAAGGCCACCTACAGATGAGACGGCCCCTGTAGACGGGGTTCTTGGTGTCAGGAGGTATCAGGCTCCTAGAGGATGCAGGCTGAGATGGTCAAGGCTGTCTGGGTGGGGGTGTTCCGGGTGTTCCCAGTCACTGCCCCTTGTACCTCCAGACCCTGAGGGGCCGATTACGAACCAAAAGGGTCCCAGCCAGTCGTGGCGTGTGGCCCTCCCCGTGGTCCTCTGGGAGGCTCTGCGAGGAAAGGGCCTTGGGTGTGTTTGTCCCTGGATGTCTGGGAAGGGGCTGCTTCCCAGTGAGCATGTCATGGAGTTAGACCCAGGAAGGGGCCACGGCATCGTCCCCGCCACCCACTTGTGGGAAGGAGCTGGTCTTCGCAGCTTTGCATGAAGCTCTGATACTTCCTGCCTCAGCTGGAACGTTGAGGCTGAGCTGTGGAATCGGAAAGCTCCAGAACCCCCCGGGATCACGCCTGCCTATTCCCTGTACCGGCGGGCCCTGTAGTGATGCTTCTGCATCCTGGGAGACGGCAGCTAAGGGGCCTGGGCCAGGGGGGCCTGTGGCCCAATCCTAGGTCTACATCAACCCTCTCTCCTTCCTCATCCATCCATTCCCTCGAGAAACAGCTCTCAGGCGCTTCCTGGGCAGACGTCTGTAATAAAAAGTTCTGGGTGCACCCTGGGCAGTCCTTCTGTGCCCCACCAAGGTCTGAGGCCTCAGAAAGCAGGACGTGGCCTCCCACGTCTGAGGACCACGACCCACTGTTAGGATCGAGTGACCTTTGCAGGGTCGCCTCTGTGTATTTGACCTGGCAGTTTTTATCACATGCATTGCAAGGAGCCATCACCTGGAAATTCGCTGGGGTGGGGGGCTGTGGGACTGGACTCCTTTCTCAGCCTTTCCTATGGCGGGTGCCTGCAGGCGCTGTGGGGTGGTGGACGGACGTGGCTCGGACGTCAGCTCCCGGCTCTGGGTCACGCATGTGGCGGGGCTGGAGTCTGTTTCTGAGCCTCAGTTACCTGCAGACTGGGTCTGTTCTTGATTCCCAGGGCATTGTAGGGTTTGTGATGTCAGCGTTCAACGCCACATCTCCAACTGGGAGCTGATAGCCGAGGGCCTGAGTTCAAAGGCACCACCGGGCTGTCGCCAGGGCTTGGGGCCCTCATGGGGCTGGGCGGGGAGAACCCCTCCTGTCGTGCTCCCCACGGCTGTGAGTTCTTTGAGCCACTGGTACAACCCAGTGGACTTTAATGATATTATTTTTTGCCCAGTCTTGAGGTTTTCAAATGTCTGTTGACGGCCATTGTGCTGCCCAAGATGACCAGTCACCTGAATCTACTCGCTAAAGAAGCAGCTCCTCCCGGAGAAGCTGGATTCCTCCAGAAAAACATTAAACGGTTTCCCCAACTGTGTCCAGGACATTTTCTCTTTAAGCATTTGAAAAATACTGGAGAACGTCCACCAGTCTGTCATTCACGTGAGAATAGTTCATCCCACGGCCCCACTCAACCACCACCTCCCAAGTCATTTGCCACCCATTTCCCCTCCCAGGCCATTTTCGTCGACCTTCCCGTGGGGACGTAATTATCATAATTGTGGTTGAATGATACGTGGAGAGCCTATGCTTGTAACTTAACATTCAGCAACTTCAATGAGTAACATGTAATTACTACTACACGAAACAGCCATGGACGCCAGCTAGCCTCCACCTGATAACCTTCAGTGTGTAATTCTTCCTGAAACCCCTCCTTAACCTAATTTGCTGTCATGTCTTGCTGTCTGTGCGTCAGAGAAAAGGGGCAGGGGGGAGTTTCCTTGAGTCGGATACAAGTCCAGGCCAATGCTGGCCGGCTATCTGACCTTGGGTGGTACATGCCCCCAGGTTGGCCAGCGGGAGAGAGGCTGCCGGCTGCCAGCTCAGCAGTGAGAGACAGTCGTGTGGCACGCTGACCCCACGCTGTCCTAGCTGTTGTTTGCAGCCGCTGCTCTGGGCAGCATCTCACCCTCTGCCCCGCCGTGAGCCGACCGTGGGCCCCGGGGTGGTGAGCTGTAGTGACTCTGCCATCTCAGACACTCAGACCCCACAGGAAGGA